CACGGAACCATGACGCCCCAGGAAGCACATTGATCTTGAAGCATGAGTCACCCTCGGAGGCCCAGGAAAAAATCCTCTCTTTGTGGCCCTTCCATCTCCTTTTTGGCTGCCATCCCTCCTTCCTCAAGGCCTTACGAAAACGCAGGCCGAGTGACCTTTCTGATAGAAATGAAACATTCCAGAAACTCATGTGACGGGTGTCTCTTAAAAAATGGAAACAATGAATGAATGAACCAGCGAGGAGGCATTTGTCATTCACGTCCAATCAGAAACGGCTGGCGCGCTCTGGCTGCAGGGCCTCTGGAGTGGGAAGCACAGCAGAAAGAGCACTTTCTGATTTCAGCCCCCATCTATTGCATCTCCCTACGTCAAGTTCGTATTTGGCCATGCAAGTCCTTTTTTTTTTCCTTTTTAATCCATTGTGCTTCTAGAGCAGTGTTTCCCAAAGTGTGATACGCGTACCCCCAGGGGTACGGGAAGAGTCCGGTGGGGGTACGCATTGCACCGGAGTTTGGTGGGGATATGCACTGCACAGTGCTTAGCTGCGCCTAATTCTACGTTCTCATGAGTACGAGGGGTACTCAGCCTTACGAAAACTATAGAAGGGGTACACATATGTCAAAAGTTTGGGAAACACCTAGAGGATGGAGCAGCAGGAAAGCACCATCTGAGGGCATGTCCGTGTAGACGGTGTGCTCTCACATCAAGGACGCTGTCCCTTCTACAACACCACGCACACTGGGAGCCAAGAGCCCTTGTACAGATATCAAACTCCCTGTAGGGGAGCCAGCAGAGGAAAGAATAATGGGGAGCCCCATGTTCAGAAACAGGGCTCGGCAATGCCCTTGGTGACAGGTTGTCACACTGGGTTATGACCGACGCCAACGTAGAAGCACCAATGTCAGCAGCCAACTGGAAGTCACCTTTTGGAGCCACCCTTCAAAGGAGCAGGGGGCCAAGGCCCGATGTGACCTCCGCCCCACTGAATTAGACACGGGGGAGCTGATGTTAGAATGAGCCTCGAGGACAGCCTCAGGGTGGAACAGAGCGGGAGTCCAACCTGCGGGATGGACGAGAGCGGAGGGAAGGGAGCCGGCCTCCTTCGGCCCGGAAATGTGATCCCTTACTCGGCCTCAGGCCTATCCATGGATGGGAGCTGCAGGGGTGAAAAACCGCACCGTTTCCCTAAGCCACGGCAGCGCGCAGCTCCCCACAGCTCAGAGTCCCAGGCTAGCATCCACCTGAAACCAAGCATCTGGGTGCCTGAATGCTGTCAGCCCCTAAACTGAATGAAAAAGTATTACCCCGACGAAACAGGTTTGGCTCAGTGGATAGAGCGTCGGCCTGCGGACTGAAAGGTCCCAGATTCAATTCTGGTCAAGGGCATGCACTTTGGTTGCAAGCACATCCTCAGTAGGGGGGGAGAGGTGCAAGAGACAGCTGATTGATGATTCTCTCTCATCGATGTTTCTAACTCTCTATCCCTTCCTCTATGTAAAAAACTCATAAAATATATTTTAGAAAAAGAAAGAAAGAAAGATAAAGAAAAAGTATAACACACACACACACACACACACACACACACACACCGGTCTCTCCCAGCGCTTGAGTCCAAACATTCTGAAATCCCAGGAAAGGAAAACTTTCCCCAACAGAGGCATCTGGTCCAACCACAGCCAGGGAGCTAACGCTCAACGTGACTCAGTTTCCCCCCAAGGAAATGGTACACAAGAGTGCCAGCTCCTAGGCCTTCCCTAGAAACCAGCCACACTTGCCTTTGCAAACACGGAGCCTCTGGTTCCCGAGAGGGAGGCGGTGGTGGAGAAAGCAGGAGACCTGACCAGGAAGGCTGGCTCTTCCTGCCCGGAATCCCTCCCAGCACTCCCTCCTCGGCCAGGTGTCGCCACAAAAAGCGCTGAGCGTTTGCCAAGTTAAGAAATTGCCCGCACCTTAAAAGGAATGTTCCTGCAACGAAAAACATAAAGCCCCAGCAGCCTTGTCTGTACATTGGGAGGGTGGGAGGGGGAGGAGGGAGGAGGAAAGTAAAAGAGACACAAATTTGAAAACAGCCTGGCTCTCGTTGGAGGGTTCGATTTCCCTTCCCTCAAGGACAGCCAGATCTCCTAGGGTTGCTGATAAGACCAAGCTGCTTCACTTTACGGCCCTCACCCAGGTCTCCGCGTCTCACATCAGCGTCCCTCACGTCCTCAGAGGCGTGGAGGGTGCGCTGGTCCTGCTGGCCAGACCGGACCCTGTCCCGGGGAGCCCTGCTAGGGAGGCGCTCTCAGACACCTGGGAGCAGAGGCAGACACAGAGACACTCGCTGCCCGTGTGCTGCCACAAGCCCCCTTCTGATGAAAAACTACCCTTTTAAAGGCCCACACCGCGCTCTCCCTATCCCCAAAACTGTCACGGAGCCCTTCCCCCCAAACTGACACCTTTCCCTTCAGAGACACGATGCAAACCCGACACCAGTGAAACAGAGACAGGGTAAGGCTCCGGAACGCATCTGACATCTCTCGTGCCATGACCCGAGGCTCTTAAATCGCTTTGTAAATGTAAAAGCTCACACCTCATCACTTTAAAGGAGGGAGTCAGGGGAAGTGTCACTTTCCCACGTTACAGGCGGTACGTTTGAGGAACAACCCACGGAAAACCCCCTTCTGTTATCGTCAGGGGTAGCGGGGGTCGGGACTCTGTACCATTATCCTCCTGTTACAGTCTGTACATCGGAGGAGCCACCCTCAGCTATAAATAAGGAGCTTGGGACAAAGCCCAAGGGTGGGGGGAGGCGAGCAGAAGCCGCCCTGCCCATGTAGCGGGGAAAGGGCCCTAGAAGTGGGACTGGGGGTGCTCTCTGTCCAGAACCTGCACCTGACCTTCGCCACAGTTCCAGGTCTGCAGGTCCAGAGCTCAGGAGACGTCTTTTTCTCCTGCTGCTCCGTGGTGGTCCTGAAACATCCCTTGCTCCTGTACCCTTCCAGTGACCCAAGTTATCTCCCTCCAAGGATCATCTGAAATGCACTGGTCCAGCCCCCGCTGTCTCCCACTTACCCATCTCTGTCTCCAAATACAAAACCTTGTAAAGCCTCATCTCAGCCCACCCCTCCATGCCTCTCTAGACCAAGATGTCCTGCAGCCCCTCCCCCCCCACACACACACACACAAACACACACACCCCGCTTGCTGGCCCAATCCCTTGTATCATTGGTTCACTCACAGGATCAGGCAGGAGAGAATCCCAGCAGACCAGCTACCCCTCCAACCCCTGCCCCAATATCTTCGGTCTCTACAGGCATGCGGATGTAGCTCGGCCTTGCAACCGGAGGGAAAACTCACCTCTCAAAGGGCAATCCTTTCTGAGGGAGAGAAAGGCAATGGGCAGTCCTGCCGCAGGAGAGAAGCTGATGGTCACATGCCAGCGGCTTAGAGCTGGAGGTACCTTCATCCCTGAAGACACAAGCTCAGGGACCAGGGACCTGGGACCTGGCCCACTGTTTTTCTAGAAAGACACTGTACCACCTCCATTCAGCCCGCCCCTTGATCCTTCTTCCTGGTTACACAAAGACAGGACCCAGGCCTCCGGACGGCCAGAGGAACAGCGCATGTGTTGTTACTAAGTGCTGTGAACACGGTAGCATGGGTGAGCAGAGCCCCCAAGGTTACACTGGCCCCGATCTCCCGGGGTCCCGCTCTTTCCCTCCTGGGAGGGCAGGAAGCAGCATCCGAACCACCTGCCACCCCGGGCTCTGTGCCCGAGGCAACTAGACTTCCCCCTCAAGGAAACTGGGGGGAGAGGGAGACACAGTCCTGAGAAGGAAGGGGAAAGGGTCCGTTGTGCCTGGGCACACACAGAAAGAGGGGAAGAAAGACACCTGGGAAAGAGGCCAGCATCTCTCTGCCCTTGCCAGGAGCAGGGATGCACGGTCTTCATCTCAGCCCTGCACACACACACACACACACACACCCCCGCGCCCCGATGCCTGGGGATCAGAGAGGGAGGGAGAGAGCTGGCAGCCAGGGGGCTGGGCCGGGCTGGGCCCCAGGGTGTGCAGTCCATCATCACCCATCTTTTCCAAGCACCCCGGAGAGAAGGCAGCAGGGTCCTTCTGGACGGTTCCCTTCGGCCAAGTCCTCCGCCTCCCACGAAGGAAGGTCTGTGATTTCCACTCCCAAGCACTGGCTCCCTAACTTCCAACAGACTGGCACACCTCCCCCCTTTGTCATCCCGAGGTGGCCTCGCCTCGTGGGGTGCTCTCCTCCTCCCAGAGGAAGGGGTGTCCACCTTCTGCAGCCAGAGCTCCCGGCCCGGCCCCTTCCCCTGGCATCCCCTCCGCGCCCCTTTGTGTTCCGGCGGGGAAAGTTGCCGGCGCGCACCCCCTTCCCAACACGCCCCCCTGGGCGCCCATTCCCCCGGGGAGCCGAGCCCCGGCGGCGCACCGCTCCTCTGCCGCCGGCGCTCCCCTCCCGCCGGGGCGGCAGCCGCTTCGAAACCGAAAGCAAAGAGGAAGCAGCGGGACGGGGCAGCGCCCCCCGCCCGGTCTTCCCGCCCGGTCTGCCCATCCCCGCACCCGCCCGCACCGCTCCCTCGCGCCGGCCGCCCCGCGGGGCCAAAAGCCGGCCTCTCTGCGGGCATCGGGGGCACCTACCCGTGCGGGGCCGGGCCGGGGCCGGGGCCGGGGCAGGGCGAGGCCGGGCCGGGCCGCGTGCGGGCAGGTGCGGCCGGGAGCGCCGATCGGCCGGCTGGCTCCCGCTCCTCCTCCCGCGCCCGGACCGGGGCGCTCTCCGCGCCGCCCGCTCCCCGCCCCCACGCCGGGCTGGGGCTCCCCCCGCGTCGAGTGGCCGGCCTTCCCCCCCCCCCCCCCCCGCTCCCGCCGCCCGGCCCGGGCGCCGCGCCCAGTCCCGCATCGGGGGCCGGTGCCCGCCGCGGGGCCCGGAGGCTGCAGCCGCCGCAGCCCGGGCTGATCGGAGCCCCCGGCGGCGCCGGCGGCGGCACTCACCCATCGTACGGATGCGGGCAGACTGCACATGCTCGCGTCTGACAGGCGCCGGCCTCCGGCCCCGTTAACTCCTTGCTCGCCTGTCGGCCGCCGCCGGGTGCGCTCCCTCGCCGGCCCCGCAGCCGCCGTTCGCAGCCGGGAGTCCGGCGGCCGCGCCCCGGGCGCCGGGAAGCGCGCCCCCCGCCGGGCCGCGGCGCAGGTGGCTGCAGCGCGGAGCTCCCGGGCCCTCAAGGCCCCTTGTGTTTGAGGTGTTGCAGGAACCCCCGGAGGAGAGCATTACCTCCCAGCTCACAGGAGGTGTGGGGACTGACTTCGTGCACAAACATCCACGGTAGGTACCCTGCAAGCCATGACCCACTGTGTGCCAGCATTGTGTCCTGTGCAGTTCGTCCATGGAAACAGCCGCCGGCAAGGTTGTTTTCATTGGCCCCATGGTCAAGGTGGAAAAACTGAGGTCTGTGGAAGTTAAGGCATTCATTCACCTCAGGCACATTCTGAACCTCCAATGTCCACAGTGATTTACAGCGGAAGATCAAACAAGGTATGTCTGAGGTCCATCTAGATTCTTCTGTTGGAAGGTAGAAAATACTGGATGTCATCTGGAAAGCCTGGAGATTCTGGAATGTGGACGGACTGTGGGGAATCCTGACAGAGGGCCCTGACTTGAGGCAGGCCCCTCTGGTGGGTCCTAGGTCAGGGCCTAGTTCAGGTCCTACAAAAAAAAAAAAAAAGAGCTGAGCAGGGAGTGGGAATGCAACCCAACCCATGTCCCCACGCCAAGCCTGAGTCCTGGCACGGGGTGCTGCAGCCAGGAGAAAGGGACGTTTTAAAAAATGTACAAGGCCTTCTGGGATGTCCTTTTGTAAATAAGCGGTGCAGAGGGGGTGCCCTTTCCCAATTGCCGCTTCTCTCCTAGCTGTCTCCCCGTTTTTATTGCATGCCACAGCGACAAGGAGTTCTCAGAGGTCTCAGGCAGCATGGAGTCTTCTAAGAAAAGGAACCTGAGGCTCACCCGGCTGGTCTTACCCCACTCTGGGTGAGAAGCTGGGCTGCTTTCCTACCGTCTGAACCTAGTGGGATCCTGTGTCTTCCTCTAAATGCCCGATGGGGCCGTGGGTCTTCCATCGACCTCCTGTGCCTGGTGGGGATATTCAAAAGTGCACTCTGAACTAGAGATGAGTGAGGCGGACAAGGAGTTCTAAGCCCGTCCCATTGACGCCCTTTCTAGAGCTGGCTTCGTCTTTCTTTCAATGGGGGCAGAAGGCATTCTGTCGAGTTTCTCAAACCCATGGAGGAAGTGCATAGCAGCCATGTGGTGTCAGGGTCAAGAGCGCTTGGCTTCCCTGACTTAGTTCCTCCTCTGTAAAATGGAGACAGTATGGCCTGTTTCGTAAGTAGGTTTTCATGACTCAACAGCGTAATGCATACAAGGTTCTCAGCCCCGGCCTCTGATCATAGAAATGTGTTTCCTGCTAGGATCACTCTGCAGGGAGAGGAGAGGAAGGGCCAGGCTACGGTGAGGCAGGTGGGCTGTCCCTAGAACTCTGTCGAAGAGGCAGGAGACGGTCCTCTCTCGGGAGAATCTTGGCAAGAAGTGGCTTTAGTTAATCTGGCCGCCAAGCCCACCTGCTGAAGAAGGACCTCCCTGTGGTCTGTTGCCTTGGAGGCCCAGTTCTCCGGCTCTGGTTCTCTCTCAGCCTGTGACCAGCAGCTGGCGTGGCTCCCTCCCAGACTCTGGGAGGCAGCATTGCACAGAGGAAAGCATAATGGGCCGGAACGGCAGAAGATCTGAATTCAGGGTGGCTGACCCACGAGGCACGGGAGGTGCAATACCTAGTAACTACCCTATCTTGGGACCCATAAAATGTCTGACTTTCTTTTAAAGTCAGAGATAAAAATTAAACGTTGAAGTCTAGGAAAATATTTTCATATATATATTTTCATCCTTAGAAGCCAAGGTGCCAGTTACAGAACCAAAAAGAAGGAAGAGTTAGGAGCTAAGGCATCAGCCAGTCCCTACCTTGTCCAGCTCTCCCATGGATGTAACTCCATGACCTGAGTTTGCCTCATTCCTAAATTAGGAATCATTTCTTCCTAACAAAAATGTATGTAATGCCTTACAATTGACATATCTTCTCTCTTTGGGTGAGGTAGCTATTTACCCCCCCTTTTCCCCCCGTTTTATAAATGAGGAAAACAAGGTAGATTATATGTTTTGGTCAAAAGTTATACAACATGCAGTTCAAACTCAATGACACCCCATCCACAGTCCTTTCTATCTTCCCTGAGAAGATTTCAAGTAAGATGAAGGCAGAGCAGTCTGCTACAGAATCAGACCTAAAAATGCACTGAGTGCTCCCCTGGTTTTCCACCCAATGACGGTTGAGACATTCCTTTGGTGTTGTGTGAACAGATAAGGCGGGTGACCCTGGATGCAGGTAGGCACAGTAACGGTGGATAATGGTTCAAATACAGACTCAAGTTGAAGGGCCCTGAGACAAACTAAGCCCCAACAAATGCCAGCCCTTCCTTTGCCTTCTTGTCTTGTCAAAGCAACCTGGATTTGATTCAGACTCCACATCCTTGGCAGATAGCTTAAGGCAATCTATTTAACCTTCGAGAGCCTACTTCCTAATCTGAACAATGGAAATAGCAATGATTACCAAGCCCAGCCCTAACCGGTTTGGCTCAGTGGATTGAGCATAGGCCTGTGGACTGAAAGGTCCCAGGTTCAGTTCTGGTCAAGGGCGTGTACCTTGGTTGCAGGCACATTCCCATTAGGGGGTGTGCAGGAGGCAGCTGATCAATGTTTCTCTTTTGTTGATGTTTCTAACTCTCTATCCATCTCTCTTCCTCTGTAAAAAAAATCAATAAAATATATATGTATTTAAAAATAACCAGGCCCATAACCATTGCAAGCATAAGTAAGATGATTCATGTTGGTTAGTTAGCATGGTGCCAGGCACATGGACATGCTTAAAGGTCCCTGCCACAATAGGCAGTTGATGTTAGTTCCCTTCACCAAGCAGGGAACAGAGTCTTTCAAATGTCTTCACAGTATCCACAGTGCTCTCAACGTGTTAGAATCTTAGCCATATTTTCTGTAAGACAAGCACGTTCCTACCCTTCTATGAAGTAGTAAGCCATTCGCGAAGGGGTTGCTCTTCTCCGGATAATTTTCTTGATGACTTTCTGTGCACTTGTTAGTGCTGACTGGTTCCCTGCGGGGTTGCCCTCTGACTGTAAGTCAGGAGTGATGTGGATCATGAGGGTGATTTCAGGGGAGGGACTGGCTGGCAGCCAAATTGGGAAAAACCTGGTAAGGAGGGAGCAAGGAAATAGGGGGCCAAGAGAGACCAAGTATAGTCTGTCCCAGATGCTAGGAAAGAGAGCAGGGAGGCATTGGAGTCAAAATCAGTCTTGAGTTTGAAATCATTTGGACCAGCTTTACAGGAGAAAGAGCTGGTGAGAGAGAACGGGGGTGGGGGGTCGGGGGAGGCCCCCGGAGGGAACCCATGCTCTCTAACAAGCATGCAGAAATCTTTCTGTTTCCCCTGGAAGTCATCAAGAAATTTACTAATGGCGGACAGGAGCAACTTGTTTATGGATGGTTTGCCTTTTAAAAGGACAGAAAAGTTCTTCTCTTTCGAAAACTAGGGACATGGTCTTGGCAGTAAGAGTGGACTTACTGCCAAGGTAATTTGTGGGAGTTGGAAAGTGGAGGAGTATCTTTGTACGAGTGCCCTTTTTTCATCTTCATTGAATTTATTGGGGTGACACAGGTTCACAAAGCAGGTTTCAGGTGCACAGTTCCACAGCACATCGCTGTGTGTTCACCACTCCAAGTCGTCTCCTTCCATCACCACTCATCCCCTCTCTACTGTCCTCCACTTCCCCCTAACCCCCTCCCCCAGCAATCACCACTGTTGTCCGTGTCCATGAGTTTTTTCTCTTATTTTTTTTCTTTCTTGCTCAGTCCCTCCACCGCTACTTCATCCAGCCCTGTACCTCACCCTGACAGCTGTCAGCCTGCTCTCTTCCTAGGAATCTGTCTCTGTTTTGCTTGTTAGCTCATTTTGTTCATTAGATTTCACATGAGTGAAATCATATGGTACTTGTCTTTCTCTGACTGTCTTATTTCACTTAGCATAATGCTCTCCAGGTCTATCCATGCTATAACAAAGGGTAATCGTTCCTTCTTCTTTATGGCTGAGTAGTATTTCATTGTATAAATGTACCATAGTTTTATTTTTATCCACTTGTCTACTGATGGACACTTCTTGAAACAGGAAGGAAAGAGGCTAAGATGTGTGAACTAGTATCATTTAGAATTCTTTGATTGCAAGCAACAGAAGCCAGCTTTAGCTACCTTTAGTCTGAAAGGAATTTATTGGAAGCATATGATCAAGTGGCTCGTGGATCTCAAGAGAATGTTGGCAAAATACACTTGAAAAGGCGAGGACCTGGACAGCTTTGGGAGCCCAGGCAACAGGAAGCATTTGAAAAGGGCTCAGGGCTCTTCTGCCAGAACAACTTCAATCTTTTTATCCCTTCTGCTCAAGTGTGAAAGAGTCAAGTTTGCCTTAGTTGAACCATGCAGCTACCAGGAAGCTCTGAAAAGTGCAGGGACAGGAAAGCACGGATGGCTGAACAAAATCACTGCTTGTTCTGGGGTTGGTCTGGCACTGGAGACAGGCAGGCCAGGAATGAGGGAACCTTGGGAAGTGCAAAAGGTCGTTAAGGATGTCCTTGAATGTTCACAAATTGCCTCTGAGGGTTTGAAGGGAGCATCAGTGGAGGGAGGAAAGAGGAATTAGACCTGGGAGAAATGGTCAAGTTGACTAAAGCTTTATCAGGAAGGTTTGCTGTCCCTCTGTCCGTGTGGGAAAGGGGTATGTACTTGCACATAGCTCTCAGAGAATATTCCTGCCTTGGGGATATTTGAAAGTCATGACCTCCCTCTTTTTGTAGTCATCAGAAGAAAATACAGCGGATAGGACTCTGCAGTATTCATGAACACCTTGAGCCTGGAAATGAAGACCTCACCATTCTGTGACCGTGTGAATTCATCCATAAAGCATTAAGACACTAACGTGTGTGCACAAAGACAGCCCTGGAAATTAATGCAATTTCGTAAGGCTAGCGGCAAATTGAGGTGAGGGGTGGGGGAGGCCAATGC